AAGTAAAATAAGTAACTGAGTAATATGTAATGCATCGACCTTAGTACCTTTGTTCCTCTTCCATCGTGTGGACTGACGGACGACCCGATGAACCCTGGTATCAAACTTTCAGCCACTTACTATTAGCCGTGTGGTGCCGGCTTAGAATAGCATCCATATATTTCCCGTTGGGGTCGTAAGTAGCAACTAAGGTGAGAGTCGATCAGCGTGACCCCGCACAGTCCGGGTGTTTTGGACGACAGCTTGCAACAGCTGCGGCGGCTGCACACGGCGGTGCCCCTGCCGCTACTAGTGAGTACCTTTTTTCATAAGTTAAAATTAGAAATATGTCATGCGTCCACCGGGGTTCGAACCCGAGCCGCATAAGTGAAAGCCCCTCCGCTCTGCCACTGAGCGATCGATGCACCGATCGAATCCTGCCAAATTTTCAATCTCTTGATGCTCGTCAGATTATTGATCAATCTCTTGATAATCTTTCCCGTGTGTGTCATAAAAAGCGACTAAGGGATTTGAGAGTGGATGTGTATTGCAATTTTAGGCGACTGGCTGACAACCTGTCGCTATGGTGATACACAATCTTCTGAGTGACTGTCAAACGTGATTCAAATGGCCGTTATTATAGCCATTTACGCTCTGCCTACCCCGCCAGGGATATAGGCGTGATATAATGTGTGTATGTCAGTGTGCCCCCGCACAGTCCGGGTGTGTTGGACGACAGCTTGCAACAGCTGCGGCGGCTGCATGCGGCGGTGCAGCGCATGCGTGCCGCGCCCCTGCCGCTACTAGTGAGTAGCTTTGTTCTTAAGTTAAAGTAAGAAATTGAGAAATATGTCATGCTTCGAAAGGGGCTCGAATCCGAGCCGCATGAATAAAAGCCGCTCTGCCACTGAGCTATCAATGCACCGATCGATTCCAGCGGATGCGTGTTGCGCCCCTGCTGCTATTAGTGAGTACCTTTGTTCTTCTGCCATCGTGTGGACTGACGGACGACCCGATGAACCCTGGTGTCAAAATATCTCAGCCACCTACTTGTATTAGTTGCCGTGAGGTGCCGGCTTAGAATAGCATCACCCCATATATTTCCCGTTGGGGTCGTAAGTAGCAACTAAGGGATTTGAGAGTCGATCAGCGTGACCCCGCACAGTCCGGGTGTGTTGGACGACAGCTTGCAACAGCTGCGGCGGCTGCATGCGGCGGTGCAGCGGATGCGTGCCGCGCCCCTACCGCTATTAGTGAGTACCTCAGTTCCAGATATCATAAGTTAAAATAAGAACGACATACGGATGACACACTTCAGCCGAAATTCCGTCGCCGAATGTCAGTCGGAAGCTTAAATAAGCAAGCTGTAAAGTGCGCATATCGGCCCGCGCCGTACTGTCAAAGCGTAAGCAGTTGCTCCCTAGATACAGACGTCAAATGTATGAGAAGTCATAGAGGTTCAATAGTGCTCTCATTGGCGTTTTGATAGTGAGTGATGGACAGGGAGGTTGTGTTCTAATTACTGCCGAAAGTTCTAACTTTTTGGCGCACTCTATAGCTTCCTTATGTATACTCTAAGGTCCGAAGTAATTCGGCGTGATTAGTACGTAATTTCGGCGCTTATAGTGTGTCATCCTAACTCGAACCGAAAACGCCGAAAACTGACGGAACGGAATTCAGCCGCCGAATTTCAGTCGTAGTGTGTCTGCACACTAAGTTGTCTATGATGGATAACAGCCGGAATGGACGGCTTAATGTGTGTTACGATCAGCGTGCCCCCGCACAGTCCGGGTGAGTTGGACGACAGCTTGCAACAGCTGCGGCGGCTGCTGTTAGTGAGTACCTTTATCCTTCTTCAACCGTATGGTGCCGGCTTAGAATAGCATCACCTCATATCTTTCCCGTTGTAGCAAGTAGCAACTAAGGGATTTGAGAGTCGATCAGCGTGGCCCCGCACAGTCCGGGTGTGTTGGACGACAGCTTGTATCTCTTCTACCGTATGGTGCCGGTTTAGAATAGCATCCATATCTTTCCCGTTGGGGTCGTAAGTAGCAACTAAGGGATTTGAGAGTCGATCAGCGTGGCCCCGCACAGTCCGGGTGTGTTGGACGACAGCTTGCAACAGCTGCGGTGGCTGCTGTTAGTGAGTACCTTTATCCTTCTTCAACCGTATGGTGCCGGCTTAGAATAGCATCACCACATATCTTTCCCGTTGGGGTCGTAAGTAGCGACTAAGGGATTCGAGAGTCGATCAGCGTGGCCCCGCACAGTCCGGGTGTGTTGGACGACAGCTTGCAACAGCTGCGGCGGCTGCTGTTAGTGAGTACCTTTATCCTTCTTCAACCGTATGGTGCCGGCTTAGAATAGCATCCATATCTTTCCCGTTGGGGTCGTAAGTAGCACTAAGGGATTTGAGAGTCGATCAGCGTGGCCCCGCACAGTCCGGGTGTGTTGGACGACAGCTTGCAACAGCTGCGGCGGCTGCTGTTAGTGAGTACCTTTGTTCTTTACCTTGTGACGCCGGCTTAGAATAGCATCACCCCATATATTTCCCGTTGGTAAGTAGCAACTGAGGGATTTGAGAGTCGATCAGCGTGGCCCCGCACAGTCCGGGTGTTTTGGACGACAGCTTGCAACAGCTGCGGTGGCTGCTGTTAGTGAGTACCTTTCTCCTTCTTTAACCGTATGATGCCGGCTTAGAATAGCATCACCCCATATATTTCCCGTTGGGGTCGTAAGTAGCAACTAAGGGATTTGAGAGTCGATCAGCGTGGCCCCGCACAGTCCGGGTGTTTTGGACGACAGCTTGCAACAGCTGCAGTGGCTGCTGTTAGTGAGTACCTTTGTTCTTCTTCAACCGTATGGTGCCGGCTTAGAATAGCATCACCCCATATCTCTCCCGTTGGGGTCGTAAGTAGCAACTAAGGGATTGGAGAGTCGATCAGCGCGACCCCGCACAGTCCGGGTGTTTTGGACGACAGCTTGCAACAGCTATTAGTAAGTGTCTTTATCCTTCTTCAACCGTATGGTGCCGGCTTAAAATAGTATCAACTCAGTATCTTGCTAAATAAAAGGATTTGAGAGTCGATGTGTATTGCAGTTTTAGGCGACTGGCTGACAACTTGTCACTGATATGGTGATACACAGTCGTCTGAATGACTGTCAAACGTAGAGTAGATGGCTGTTTTTTGCAGCCATTTACACTCTGTCTACCCCGCAAGGAATATAGGCGTGATACATGTATGTATGTTAGCGTGCCCCCGCACAGTCCGGGTGTGTTGGACGACAGCTTGCAACAGCTGCGGCGGCTGCATGCGGCGGTGCAGCGGATGCGGGCCGCGCCCCTGCCGCTACTAGTGAGTACCTTTGTACATAAATTGAGAAATATGTCATGCATCGACCGGGGCTCGAACCACCGTTCTGCCACTAAGCTATCGATGCCACGCCCCTGCCACTATTATAGTCCGACAACTTCGTGCGCGACCCTCCTGCGGGGTACAGACGGTGGGGGAGCGAGGAAGCACGTCATTTTAATATGACGTGCGGCGCGGGTGCGCGTGTCTCCCTTCCCCGCTACACCTCCCGCTACCCGCTGACATCTCCCCCCTCAACGTCTGTCACCCCTAGGGAGGGTCACGCACGAAACTGTCGGACTATAGTAAGTACCTTTGTTCATCTTCAAGCGTATGGTGCCGGCTTAGAATATCATCACTCCATATCTTTACTGTGCGTTTCGTAAGAAGCGACTAAGGGATTTGAGAGTCGATCAGCGTGGCCCCGCACAGTCCGGGTGTGTTGGACGACAGCTTGCAACAACTGCCGCTATTAGTGAGTACCTTTCTTCTTCAACCGTATGATGGCGGCTTAGAAAAGCATCCATATCTTTCCCGTTGGTGTCGTAAGTAGCAACTGAGGGATTTGAGAGTCGATCAGCGTGGCCCCGCACAGTCCGGGTGTTTTGGACGACAGCTTGCAACAGCTGCGGCGGCTGCTGTTAGTGAGTACCTTTGTTCTTCTTCAACCGTATGGTGCCGGCTTAAAATAGCATCCCCTCATATCTTTCCCGTTGGGGTCGTAAGTAGCAACTAAGGGATTTGAGAGTCGATCAGCGTGACCCCGCACAGTCCGGGTGTGTTGGACGACAGCTTGCAACAGCTGCGGCGGCTGCATGCGGCGGTGCAGCGGATGCGTGCAGCGCCCCTGCCGTTACTAGTGAGTACCTATGTTCTTCAACCGTATGGTGCCGGCTTAAAATAGCATCCATATCTTTCCCGTTGGGGTCGTTAGTAGCGATTAAGGGATTTGAGAGTCGATCAGCGTGCCCCCGCACAGTCCGGGTGTGTTGGACGACAGCTTGCAACAGCTGCGACGGCTGCATGCGGATGCGGGCCGCGCCCTTGCCGCTATTAGTGAGTATCTTTATCCTTCTTCAACCGTATGGTGCAGGCTTACAATAGCTTCACCCCATATCTTTCCCGTTGGGGTCGTAAGTAGCAACTAAGGGATTTGAGAGTCGATCAGCGTGGCCCCGCACAGTCCGGGTGTGTTGGACGACAGCTTGCAACAGCTGCGGTGGCTGCTGTTAGTGAGTACCTTTGTTCTTCTTCAAACGTATGGTGCCGGCTTAGAATAGCATCACCCCATATCTTTCCCGTTGGGGTCGTAAGTAGCGACTAAGGTATTTGAGAGACGATCAGCGTGCCCCCGCACAGTCCGGGTGTGTTGGACGACAGCTTGCAACAGCTGCGGCGGCTGCTGTTAGTGAGTACCTTTGTTCTTTACCGTATGGTGCCAGCTTAGAATAGCATATACCCATATCTTTCCCGTTGGAATCGTAAGAAGCAACTAAGGGATTTGAGAGTCGATCAGCGTGACCCCGCACAGTCCGGGTGTGTTGGACGACAGCTTGCAACAGCTGCGGTGGCTGCATGCGGCGGTGCAGCGGATGCGGGCCGCGCCCCTGCCGCTACTAGTAAGTACCTTTGTTCTAAAGTTAAAGTAAGAAACTGAGAAGTATGTAATGCATCGACCGGGCTCGAATCCGAGCCGCATGAATAAAAGCCGCTCTGCCACTGAGCTATCGATGCACCGATCGAATCCTGCCAAATTTTCAATCTCTTGATGCTCGTCAGATTATTGATCAATCTCTTGATAATCTTTCCCGTGTGTGTCATGAAAAGCGACTAAGGGATTTGAGAGTGGATGTGTATTGCAATTTTAGGCGACAGGCTGACAACCTGTCGCTATGGTGATACACAATCTTCTGAGTGACTGTCAAACGTGGTGCAAATGGCCGTTATTATAGCCATTTACGCTCTGCCTTCCCCGCACGGATATAGGTGTGATATATGTATGTATGTCAGCGTGGCCCCGCACAGTCCGGGTGTGTTGGACGACAGCTTGCAACAGCTGCGGCGGCTGCATGCGGCGGTGCAGCGGATGCGTGCCGCGCCCCTGCCGCTTTTAGTGAGTACCTTTGTTCTTCAACCGTATGGTGCCGGCTTAGAATAGCATCACCCCATATCTTTTCCGTTCTTTCTTTTCGTGTGGGACACCGAGTCGTTTAACGACCCGTTGGGGTCGTAAGTAGCAACTAAGGGATTTGAGATTTAATCAGCGTGGCCCCGCACAGTCCGGGTGTGTTGGACGACAGCTTGCAACAGCTGCGGCGGCTGCATGCGGCGGTGCAGCGGATGCGTGCCGCGCCCCTGCTGCTACTAGTGAGTATCTTTGTTCATGAGTTGAAATAAGAAATTGAGAAGTATGTCATGCGTCGACCGGGCTCGAACCCGAGCCGTATGGGTAAAAGCCCCACCGCTCAGCCACTGAGCTATCTAATTATCGATGCTCCGTTCGATTCCTGCCAAATTTTCAATACAACCCGATGAACTCTGGTGTCAATGTTTTTTAGCCTACTATAGTACGGTCATTCTAATAGACCATATTTGACAGCTGTCAAAATCATGTTAATGCTATGACATAGGTAAGGTCTATTATCTTTGTTGACATGTTTTCTTTCTAGTATGGGTTTGACATCTGTCAAATATGGCCTATTCGAATGACCGTACTGTACATTAGTAGTAGGATGCCTCTAACATGGTTGCTAAGTTGACCGCCATCTAAGATGATTGATGGATACCAGCCGGAATGGACGGCTTAATGTGTCTTACGATCAGCGTGGCCCCGCACAGTCCGGGTGTGTTGGACGACAGCTTGCAACAGCTGCGGCGGCTGCATGCGGCGGTGCAGCGGATGCGTGCCGCGCCCTTGCCGCTACTAGTGAGTACCTTTGTTCTTCTGCCATCGTGTGGACCGAAGGACGACCCGATGAACCCCAGGATCCTACTATTACCCTTAGAATAGCATCCATATCTTTCCCTAGGGTGTCATAATAAACGACTAAGGTATATGAGAGTGGTGCAATTTTAGGCGACAAGCTGACAACTTGTCACTATGATATACAGTCGTCAGAATGACTGTCAAACGTGGTGTAAATGGCCGTTTTTACAGCCGCTTAAAGGATAAAGGATATAGACGTGATATATGTATGTATGTACGTTTGTTCTTCTTTCATCGACTTTGAACAATCCGATGAACCCTGGTGTCAAGTAGCGAATTGACGGCTTAATGTGTCTCACGATCAGCGTGGCCCCGCACAGTCCGGGTGTTTTGGACGACAGCTTGCAACAGCTGCGGCGGCTGCATGCGGCGGTGCAGCGGATGCGTGCCGCGCCTCTACCGCTACTAGTGAGTATCTTTGTTCATAAGTTAAAGTAAGAAATTGAGAAATTTGTCATGCTTCGAAAGGGGCTCGAATCCGAGTCGCATGAATAAAAGCCGCTCTGCCACTGAGCTATCGATGCACCGATCGATTCCAGCGGATGCGTGTTGCGCCTCTGCCGCTACTAGTGAGTACCTTTGTTCTTCTTCAACCGTATGATGCCGGCTTAGAATAGCATCACCCCATATCTTTCCCGCTGGGGTCGTAAGTAGCAACTAAGGAGAGAGTCGATCAGCGTGGCCCCGCACAGTCCGGGTGTTTTGGACGACAGCTTGCAACAACTGCCGCTATTAGTGAGTACCTTTGTTCTTCAACCGTACGGTGCCGGCTTAGAATAGCATCACCCCATATCTTTACCGTGCGTTTCGTAAGAAGCGACTAAGGGATTTGAGAGTCGGTCAGCGTGCCCCCGCACAGTCCGGGTGTTTTGGACGACAGCTTGCAACAGCTGCGGTGGCTGCTGTTAGTGAGTACCTTTGTTTTTCAACCGTATGGTGCCGGCTTAGAATAGCATCACCCCATGTCTTTACCGTGCGTTTCGTAAGAAGGGGCTAAGGGATTTGAGAGACGATCAGCGTGACCCCGCACAGTCCGGGTGTGTTGGACGACAGCTTGCAACAGCTGCGGCGGTGCAGCGCATGCGTGCCGCGCCCCTGCCGCTACTAGTGAGTACCTTTGTTCTTCAACCGTATGGTGCCGGCTTAGAATAGCATCGACCCATATCTTTCCCGTTGGGGTCGTAAGTATCAACTAAGGGATTTGAGAGTCGATCAGCGTGCCCCCGCACAGTCCGGGTGTTTTGGACGACAGCTTGCAACAGCTGCGGCGGCTGCATGCGGCGGTGCAGCGGATGCGTTGTTATTAGCCTATTAGTGAGTACCTTTGTTCTTCCTCCATCGTATGAACCGAAGGACGACCCGATGAACCCCAGGATTCTACTATTACCCTTAGAATAGCATCCATATCTTTCCCGTGGTTGTCATAATAAACAACTAAGGTATATGAGAGTGGTGCAATTTTAGGCGACAAGCTGACAACTTGTCACTATGATACACAGTCGTCAGAATGACTGTCAAACGTGGTGTAAATGGCCGTTTTTACAGCCGTTTAAAGGATATAGGATATAGACGTGATATATGTATGTATTTAGCGTGACCCCGCACAGTCCGGGTGTGTTCGACGACAGCTTGCAACAGCTGCGGCGGCTGCATGCGGCGGTGCAGCGGATGCGTGCCGCGCCCTTGCCGCTACTAGTGAGTATCTTTGTTCTTAAGTTAATTAAGAAATTGAGTAATATGAACCTGAGCCGCATGAGTTAAAGCCCCACCGCTCTGCCACTGAGCCATCAAAGCACCAATTGATTCCTGCAATTTTTTCAATAAAAGTAAGTGCATTAAAATCCCAATAGACTTCCTTTGTTCTCCTTTCATCGTGTAGGAGAACGACGAACGACCCGATGAACCCTGGTGTCAAGCTTCAGCCTACTATAGTACCGTCATTTGATTAGGGCCATATTGGACAGCTGTCTAAATCATGTTAATGCTGTGACATAAGGTCTATATTTCTTAGTTGACATGTCTTCTAGTATGGGTTTGACAGTTGTCAAATATGGCCTATTCGAACGACCGTACTGAAGTTGTAGGATGCCTTAGACACGTGTCTAAGTCGTCTATGATGGAAAACAGCCTAGCCGGTATGGACGGCTTAATGTGTGTTACGATCAGCGTGGCCCCGCACAGTCCGGGTGTGTTGGACGACAGCTTGCAACAGCTGCGGCGGCTGCATGTAATATGTAATGCATCGACCTTAGTACCTTTGTTCCTCTTCCATCGTGTGGACTGACGGACGACCCGATGAACCCTGGTATCAAACTTTAAGACACCTACTATTAGCCGTGTTGTGCCGGCTTAGAATAGCTTCCATATCTTTTCCGTTGGGGTCGTAAGAAGCAACTAAGGGGTTTGAGAGTCGATCAGCGTGGCCCCGCACAGTCCGGGTGTGTTGGACGACAGCTTGCAACAGCTGCGGTGGCTGCTGTTAGTGAGTACCTTTGTTTTTCAACCGTATGATGCAGGCTTAGAATAGCATCACCCCATATCTTTCCCGTTGGGGTCGTAATTAGCAACTAAGGGATTTTAGAGTCGATCAGCGTGACCCCGCACAGTCCGGGTGTGTTGGACGACAGCTTGCAACAGCTGCGGCGGCTGCCGCTATTAGTGAGTACCTTTGTATCTCTTCAACCGTATGGTGCCGGCTTAGAATAGCATCACCCCATACCCCATATCTTTCCCGTTGGGGTCGTAAGTAGCAACTAAGGGATTCGAGAGTCGATCAGCGTGACCCCGCACAGTCCGGGTGTTTTAGACGACAGCTTACAGAGATACAAAGCTAAGCACTATTAGTGAGTAGCTTTGTATCTCTTCAACCGTATGGTGCCGGCTTAGAATAGCATCACCACATATCTTTCCCGTGGGTGTCGTAAGTAGCAACTAAGGGATTTGAGAGTCGATCAGCGTGGCCCCGCACAGTCCGGGTGTGTTGGACGACAGCTTGCAACAGCTGCGGTGGCTGCTGTTAGTGAGTACCTTTGTTCTTTCATTGTATGATGCCGGCTTAGAATAGCATCACCCCATATCTTACCCGTTGGGGTCGTAAGAAGCAACTGAGGGATTTGAGAGTCGATCAGCGTGACCCCGCACAGTCCGGGTGTGTTGGACGACAGCTTGCAACAGCTGCGGCGGCTGCATGCGGCGGTGCAACGCATGCGTGCCGCGCCCCTGCCTCTATTAGTGAGTACCTTTGTTCTTCCTCCATCGTGTGGACCGAAGGACGACCCGATGAACCCCAGGATCCTACTATTACCCTTAGAATAGCATCCATATCTTTCCCGTGGGTGTCATAATAAACGACTAAGGTATATGAGAGTGGTGCAATTTTAGGCGACAAGCTGACAACTTGTCACTACGATACACAGTCGTCATAATGACTGTCAAACGTGGTGTAAATGGCCGTTTTTACAGCCGTTTAAAGGATATAGGATATAGGCGTGATATATGTATGTATGTTTGTTCTTCTTTCATCGATGCTGAATGACCCGATGAACCCTGGTGTCAAGTAGCGAATGGACGGCATAATGTGTGTTACGATCAGCGTGACCCCGCACAGTCCGGGTGTGTTGGACGACAGCTTGCAACAGCTGCGGCGGCTGCATGCGGCGGTGCAGCGGATGCGTGCCGCGCCCCTGCCGCTACTAGTGGGTACCTTTGTTCTTCAACCGTATGATGCCGGCTTAGAATAGCATCCATA